GTGTGTGTGTGTGTGTGTGTGTGTACACACCCTCTTCCTTGTTTCTGCCAACCCCTTGACTTCAAGACCTGACTTCAACCCGGAACGTGTTGAAGCTTTGTCTCTGAAGGCTTATAATTGAAAAGGGCACACAGTGCTTGTTACCAGACCCAAGGTGCCAAATTGTGAGGAGGGAACCAGTGAGACAAACTTTAATTACAGCTCCTTGGCGCGTGCTCACCTGTTTTGCTGCTTCAGTGAGGGCAGCAGCCTCCCCCTTGCCCAGCTGCTGTACCATCTTGTAAAAGAGGCCCTCTTTATTCTGCAGCAAAATATACGGCTCATCATATTCTTTCAGTCTTCCTGAATCCAAAACCTGGTAATCAGCAGAAAGAAGCCCATTGAAACACAATGTTGTGCAGCAACATATTATAACTCAGACAATATTTCGGAAAGGGGCAGGACAGGGAGAATACAGAGACACTATTTGGGTGGTAGCCCGGGAGGGTGTTTAAATGGTTTGATTACCCTGTTTTACGAAGCACACAAAGGCCTAACCTGACCTTTTATTATTATAATGTTATAGGAAAGGAAAAAAATGAAAATGCTAGACTATTGTTACGGCCACTCAGCAGTCCTGCGGCATTTCACATTTCGGCAAGGGCATCTGGGGTAGATGTTATTAGTGCTTTTAGCGTTCCCAGCCTCTGAGCTTCCAAGGTATTTACACAGGCTTTCAGGGGTGGGAGACTTCTTGATTCAAGCAAATCAAGCTCAATGTACTAACAACGTAGAATGATGTCAGACAAACCAAATGACAGCAAACGAGTCACCCAGCTGGCCTGACAGAATCTGAGCAGATGGAAGAGAGGACAGAAGATGGAAAAGAAGTACTTCTGGCATTTCAAGGCGTTCAGCCCTTGTAGGCGAAGTTTAGGAGCATCCGGGCATTGCCTCCGGGTATGAAAGAACTGGGCAAGAGAGCTGCTACCTCTGCTAAAGCCGCATAGAAGAAAACCCTAGAAATCCAATTTTCTTTTTGGCTAAGACTAAAGAGGCAATTAAGAAACTAAACCCCAAATTTCAGTGACAGTGGCCCACCCAGCACATGGGAGCGGCCCAGTCCTCACTGCTGAGGGCCTGAGTATTGGTCTGTCCTCACAACCCCCTTTCCTTGTCTTTCTCTCTCTCTCTCCTTAGCCGCCTGCCTTTTAGCTGTTTTATTGCTCATTAATATGTCCACTGAAAATTGAAAGGGAGAGGAAAGGCCTCTTAACTCTGCATTTCTACTTATTAGTGGCTTTGGTTAATGGCTTCAGAGAGAAGAAAGAGGCTGAGACAATTGGCCCAAATGACGTACCTAGGAAAACCATTCTGATGTTAAGTGGTACTTAGTTCTTCATTTAGGCTGTGTTTAGAATAAATTCATCTTAAGAGAGAACACTGCAACTCTCCATAGGACACAGGTTGTTTTTCCACATCTAGATAGTGCAGTTAATTCCAGCCCATGGTATTTAATCGGAAACATTTATTAAGTCTCATAAAGGGTGTTTTCCTGTTAATCTTTTGTTTACTACTGTAAATCACTGCTAAGGGCAGCTTTCTCAAAAAGAGTTCAAGAATAATTGAATCTGTCACATCCACATAATAATTAAAGTGTCCTATAATTTGGCATGCCAATTTAGATGCCCCGAATGTATAATTTTACTTAAGCATAGCATTACAGTGCACAACCGCCCCTCCTGACGTGTGAGAAGAAAAGAAAAAAATGCAACTTTAAAATCAGGTCTCTTCCATGCAAAAGCCTAAGTAAATAAATGAATCAAATTACTTTACATGATGGTGAACTTTCTGCTCTGCAGAAGCAATAAGCAAACTGTAAAACATCGTCATTTTGGAGGAGGTGAAGGGCAAGGACTCTGGGAGGACTGTACGTAATTTGAATGGGAAGAAAGCACTTCTACCACTTGGTCTCTGTTCAACTAATCCAAACGTGGTCAATGGCAAATTCTGTACTTCCTGTTATAGAATCTGACAGTTCAGGGCTGGGGAGACAGCTCAGTAGCATAAACGCCTGCCTGGCAAGTGCAAGCCCCTTTTTGATCCCCGGTACCAAAGAAAAAGAATCTGACAATTCACAAATGTCACTGAGGCCAATAGTTCTCCTTTTTAAAGTCTACTTCTGGGAATGGACCTCACGACTTCACACTTGCTAGGCAGGTGGTGTGCTGCTGAGCCGAATCCCCAGCCCCCAAGCCAACAGTTCTTAAAACTGATCAAGTCCTGAAAAAGGCACAGCCCGAGCACCGGGGCTCTCCAAAAGCAATGGGATTGACAACAGAAGTGGCAGATGATTTTGGCCAAAACATTCTGTACCTTGTAAGTATTAATAATTTAATAATTGTGTGCTTTTCTTTTATTGGAAGTTTTAAATTTGGGGCGATGACAGGTTTGCTTTTTTTTTTTTAAACAGTAGCAAAGTTTTATGAAAGGTAGGAAAAGAAACTATATCTGCAGATAAAGTTTAGGCCAAGTAAGTGTAGGAAAAGATGTACACCCTGTGGCATGTGGGTGGGCCACCGTGCGAGAGAGAACACAGTGGCCAAGGAGAAAGGTTTTTTATAATGCGTCTGATAATTCTTCATAAGACTTGATAATTGATTAGAATGTGCACTGTGTGTGTGTGTGTTTGTACGTGCGTGTGCATACCAGGGCTGAATCCGGGGCATCTGCACATACTAAGTGTAGTTTACCACTGCGGAACACCCCTAGCCCTAGACCTTACATTACTTTTGTAAAGTAATGCTTTGAAAGTGTAAAATGAATCCAGCCTCATTAGTACCATTTCCACAGACACCAAAAAAAAAAAAATTTAAATAAAAGTAAAAATACAGGGCAGGGGTGTCGCTCAGTTTGATCCTCAGCATCCCAACAAAACAAGCATGCAAAACAGCATCTTAAAATGAACTGGGTTATTATGCCCCAAATGGACGTTAAGCAAAGGAGGCCCTCATCCATAAACACAAAGTAGCAAGCACTGTGGTCACAGTAAGGTGAACGGAACAAATGGCAACTTTTGAACTTCAAAAGGAACATAGCAATGTCTGTGAGTTGAATATTCACTGAATTTTAAAGTCATCACCGTTCATTCTCCAAACAGATGCGACAAATAAGACTGACAATCCCTTCCTTCCACCCATCCGTCCATCTGAACAGGTAGCCTGGTGCCGGCCCCACGTGCTGCAGGCGGCCGAGCAGGTGCGCAGGCCCAGGTCTGAGCCTCTGCTCTCTGTGTGACTGCTACGTCACTGGGAGCAAGCTGGCTGGCAGGAGTAAAGTAACAGCAAGAAAATCTGAAGTGTTCCATTTTTTAAAGTACCTTTTCATCGGGATATATTCACTATTTAAAATTTAAGAAAATATGCCTGCGAACATAAATCTGTCCTTGAGGCAATTTTATTTATTTTATATTTTGCAACACTGGGGAATGAACTTAGGGTCTCACACGTGCTAGGCAAGTGCTCTACTACTGAACTACACCATAGCTCCCAGTCCTTTCTGTTTGCGACAGGATCTTGCTAATTTTTCCAGGCAGGCCTCACACTTGTGATCCTCTAACTTCCGTCTCCGAGTAGCTCAGATTACAGGTGCTGCCACTGCAACCAGCCGTCCACAATTTTATTATACCCACAACTTAAGTTGTACGTGTGGGCCTGGTACATAGCCATGGAAGAAGAAAACTGACTTCATTAAACGTTAGGCTTTGTGAAAAGCAAGTAACACAAGGCCAAAACACATGGGCGGAAAACTAGTGAAGTGATGTTTCACCTCAGCAATGGCTGAATGTACCTGGCACGCATTTCTTGCACACTTACTACACTTGCATCACTGCACTAGATGCTGTGGAAGAGGCGCAGATAAGTCCCAGCCCTGCCCTTAGGGTATCCGTGCCAAGAAGAGGTGAGAATACACAGGCGACTACAATGCAAGGAAAAAGCACCATAAGCAGGAGGTTAAGCATCAAAAGATGTCACCCAGGCCAGAGGTTCTGAGGAAGAGCCTCAGGGAGGGGCAACAGCAAACTGGGCTGGAAAGGTACATGCGGAGGTGCAAGAAGGACAGCAGACATTCCAGGCACAAACACATGGGTGGGGGCCTGCAGGTACAGCTGTCCCCTCTGTCCCCTCCTCAATGACAGGAGGTAAGTGTGCATGGCTTCTCTTGTTCAGTGCAGCATTGCCCAGGCAATGTACATGGCAAGGAGCAGGCAGCTGGCGCACAGGGGATGACGCACGAGATGGGATCTGCAGCAGGACCGGGAGGCTGTCTGAGGGTGTGAAGGCTGCGGAGACCTCGCTGGGATTTGGAACAGATAAAGCAGGGGTTCCGAGACTGGCGGACTGATGGCTGTGGGAACGAAGGGAGAAAAGAAAGGAGGAGACAGAGCAGGCAGGGGTGCTGAGGTCTGGCTTCTGCGATGAGACACAGTCAGTGGTGTAAAGACTTGAGGTGGGGCGCATGTGGAAAACAATGCCAGAATAGAATCTGACCCATTTAGCCTTCATGGATTTCACTACAGCCTAGCAGATCTTTTAGAATAATCACAAGAAACTGAGTTTTCTTACTGTGCAGAAGAGTAAAAATTCCATTACAAAATAACCTAACATCTTTTTTTTTTTTTTCTATAAGAAAAGGTTCCTGGCTGGGCAGAGTGATGCATATCTAGAGGCTGAGGCAGGCAGGATTTCTGAAGCAAGTCTGAGCTACATAGTGAGATCAAGGCCAGCCTGAGCTGCATAGTGAGGCCCTGTCTCAAAAAGATGGATGGATGGATGGATGGATGGATGGATGGATGGACGGACGGACGGAAGGGGAAAGGACAAGACAAGATTCCTGCAATCTACGGGTCCCCACCCCTCCTCCACCCAAGTAAACTGTGAGCACGCCGCACGCTAACACTGACGTGCCAGCCACCACTCAGCAGCCCTCCCTCTGCCCCAGGATCTCTCCAGGAATGCCAACCTCAAATTGCTTGCTGCTCTCTAGTAGGTTAAGGTATAATACATTCTGTTGGGTGAGTCAGTCAGTTATATAAACTCAGTGAAGGTGTGGTTATCAGGCTTCCAAATTTGCAGATAGTCCAGGTAGCTGTCCTAGATAGAAAAATTAGATGGACTCATTGCAAAATGACTTAATGGTCTTTAATGTGCAAGATGCCATCATGATATTGGGGTTTCAGGAGGGGAAAGAAACAGAAAAGTTTTCAATCTGGCAATAGGCCACGAGGGCACCCCATGGAGTGACAGAGTAGGTAAGGAGTGACAGAGCTGCAGAGATCTGCTGTGGGGTGCTGGTGACAAAGGAACAAAGGGACAGCATCCAACCCTGGGAGTTGGCTTCCGTACTGCAGAGTGGTTACGTGTGACTTTTCCCTGTGACTGGGTGCTGTGGCATGTGACAAATACCATTCTAACTCTTTCCCTATAGCTTTTAAATGAGTGGATGATTCTTCTTATCTGGGGGAGGTGACCTTGAGCCTACAGTGACCTCCCTGCTACTCCTCCAAAGCTGCCTCTGGCTTGTGCATCCCTCCCTCCCTCACATTTCTCTTAGCATTTGCATTTTCTCCCTTGTCATTAGTTATTTTTCCATCTAGAGACTTGAATATCTCAACCTATTTATGAGAGAGAATTTTTTTCTTGTGAAATGTTCTAACTAATTAAGGTTAATTTTTAAAAAAACTATGGTCATGTAGGTTTATCAACAAATATTTCCTCAGGTCCAGCCATGCTGCACCAGCGCTGAGCCAGTGAAATCCAAGGGTGGTGATGCACACCTGTAATCCCAGCACTGGGGAGGCTGAAAACAGGAGGATCATTACGAGTCTGAGCTGTCCTTGCACAAATACATAAAATGGAAGGAAAAAAAAAAAAAGAAAAAAAATTTCCATGAAGGTAAAAAATAAAAATTAAATAAAACTTGAATTAGCTTTGTGCTGTTGTGCTTTTCTAAGCTGGGTATGTTTACTGTGGTGACTGAGTTTATTTTCTGGGGAAAACAACTAGGGATATTTGAGTTCAGAGAAGTAAAGATGTTAAGACCATAAGATGGTTGACAAGCAGAAAAGACACAGCCAACCAGCCAACCAGCTTCTCCACTTCTCCACTCCTTCCTCTTCCTAGCCTGGTACCAGCTAGGCAACTACTCTCAGACTGAGCTACATCCCCAGCCCTAAAACTTGAGTTTCTAAACTTCAGTTTTGTTTCTCCATAATTCACTCCTAAAGAATTCCTTGACTGCCCACAGTGACAACATGGAGCACAAGCTGCAACAAAGGCTGGGAGAATCCAGATAGCTGTAAGGACTGGGCGCACAGGAACCGGATGAAAATGGAAGCAGACTGCACGTGACCAGCTAATCCTGAAAACTACAGAGAAAGGGCTGATGTGAGCACAGCGATAGAGCCGAGCATCGGGAGAAAGGGACTTCCTCATTTGTCAGTCTTGCTCCGCTATTTTACAGCAACTGAACAAATGAGAGAGATTAAATTAGCTGTCATGACACCATGCTTAATAAAGTTAGAACTGAAAGAACATCTTTATAAAATGGAATTCTGAGCAGAACACATTAATGGTGTTTAATAAACCAAAACTGAGTAAATCCCTTTGGAAAGACAACACATAAACAAAGCTAGTAATTAGGTCACAGTTGTGTCTCAACAAGGCTTTGTGTCATTTACTTAGAGTAAACAAAACCATGTCCATGTGTCTTTGTGGGGAAGTATTCACCAGTGCAACCCAGTGTCATTATTACACTCTGGGTACCTGCAATCACAGGACTTCTGGACAGGGCTGGAGATTCCCTTCATTAGCATCTGTCACTTCCCACACCACTCCCTGTGCTTGGCCACTGCCCTCTGAAGTGTCAGGCTTTGCAGCTGAGTTGGCTTTGGGTCCTCAACACTTTCAGAATTACAGGGAGAGAACAAATTAGCTTTTTGGAGGGAAAAGTAAAGGGGTATTTCTGAAGCTAACAAGAAAAATAATTGCTTCAAAAATTAACTTTAAGAAAGAACATTATTGGCCGCCCTGTGTGGATCATGAATGTCCTCTAAAGGACTGGGAGTCAAAGGCTCAGTAGTCAGGGTGGTACTCTTGGTGGATGGATGATATATAAGAGGAGGAGCCTAGCGAGAGGCCTTTACGTCATGAAATGTCACCCTGAAGGAGATGCTGGAAGCCTGTTCCCCTGCATGCTTTCTTCTGCCTCCTGCCCACAAGGTGAGAAGTTCTGCTACACCATGCACCCCAGCCATCACATACAGGCTCAGAGCAAAAGTGCCACGTGACAGGATTGAACCCTGCAAACTTGTGAGACAATATGAACTTTTTCCTTTATCAGTTTTCTATCTCAGAAATCTTGTTATCCTGACAGAAGGATGGTGAGGTCACTGGTTTGTCTCTGAGTTCAAAGTCATCTAATGATCAAACACTCCCCAGTACAAAAGGTGTCTTCCTCAGGTAGAAGGAATGCAGAGGCCACTTTTCATGTCTGAAGCTATGGAATGCAAGGCTCCTGGGTGCCCCGAGGTCAGCTCCTGTCACACACTATGAAATAAGTCAGCAACAGCAACTAGTCAATATATACGCACTCCTCACCCAGTGGAACCCATGGAATCCCCGACAACCTTGTAGATAAGGAACTCTAAACTGAGGATCTTCTAGCACAGGAGTTGGGGGTGCAAGAGGTAGGGCCCTGGTGACATCCAAGGACATCTCAACAGTCACATGCTCAAAGCAAACCCTTGTCTAAGGCCACTCATCTCTACGACTTGCCCAGGCTCTGACCCTAGAAACCTGAACCAACTCCTCTAGTTTTCTCACACCGGTGTCTAACTCATCACAGTCCAGCTGGCCCACTGCCAGAAGGACACTACTGGATGAATAATCAGACACCAATGCTTGGTCTGCTGTGGAGGAGGCTCACTGATTACTATGGACAGACCCTCAGCCCAGATCAACCTTTCTACATACAACCTTTTACTAGGGCAGTTGGTTCACAGGCTCTTTAGCCAGTGGGCTCTGACAAGTACTGCCTGTAGGGGGCACTAGACGGAGATGGAAGATTGTACACAGGCCAAAGCACTTGTCCTCCAGGCTGCGGTTACTCCTACCAGCACTACTCAGGTGCCCAGTGTCTGTCCTCTCTGAACAAGTCTGGAACCAGCCTCACAGTAGTCCTTTATGGACGTGACCAGCAGCCAGCCAGAAGGTCCTCCTTGGGAGGGATAAACACCAAAGCTTTAGGGCCCCTCCTCCGAGCTCCTGCTATGAGGACCTGGCTGCTAGTAAAATTACCACTGTGTCTCATCCCCCCATGATCCTAACCTTCTGATTCCTGTGTAACAAGTTACTTATATTAAATCCTCTCTGTTGAAACCCTCTGTTTTTCTGATTAGGGTGCTGTATTTTAAAATATTATTTTTGATCAGCAAATCGTAACTACTGTATTATATTTATGAAGTATAAAGTGCTGCATTATACGTATACAAGGCAGAAGGACTAAATCAAGCTAAGTAACATCACCACAACCTCACTTACATATATTTTTTGTGGTGAGACATTGAAATTTATCCTCAGTTATCTTGAAGCATGCAATAGTTTCCTTACTGGGTAGAAGACTTCAAAACTCACTCCTCCCTTCTAACTGAAAATTTGTACCTTTGTCCATCATCTGCCCCAGCCCACTTCTCCAGATCCTGTGTAGTGTCTGTCTTTCTATGCCTGGCTGATTCACTTAACATTATGTCCTCCAGGACATCAACACTGTTACCAATGACAGCATTTCCTTCTGTTGTAAGGCTGGCTAGTATTCCATTGTGCATATATACCTAATTTTATTTACACGTGCATACACTGGTGGCAACCCACACTGATTCTGTATTTTAGCTACTGCAATAATCTGCAGTGAGCATAGCGTTGCAGATAGCACTGTAATACACTGGTATCATTACCTTCGGACATATACTCCAACGTGGGATCCCTGGATTGGATGGGTAGTTTTTTGAGGAATGTCCACACTGGTGTTGCTAATTTACATTCCTACCAACAATGCACAAGACTTGTTGGGGCCCTTCCTGCAAATGTTCTGTTTGGATCTTTCATACATCAAGGTGTCAACCACCAAGAGATTCTGTAGCTTTACCCGATGACCCCCCCCCAGGAGTTTAAACATGAAGCTATTCACTGACCAAAAAGCTGAAACAACTATGATACAGGAAATGACACTGTCCTACCCTCTGTGTTAGGAAGCTCAGCATTCTACGGCACAGATCTTGGGTTTGGACATTTCTAATAGTTGGCCATCATAAAGAAAAATAGCAATTCAAGCCAATGCTTAATACAAAATCAGGCAAAGAGATGTCCTAAATACATTAATTGCACTGAATTGTTCACCCTTCAATTTCTGGGGGTGAGAGAAAAACTAAACAGAAAATTAATTTACTGGGGGTTTCCATCAGCTTTGGCAAAAAGGGGCAGACTGGGAAACACCACATAAACGGAAGCCGCCCGCCAGCCCTGGGGAGGCTCACCATGATCTTATCGCTGTCAATGATGGTGTTTAGCCTGTGCGCAATGGTCAGCACGGTGCACTGGGCGAACTTCTCCCGGATCTTCTTCTGGATCAGCTCATCAGTTCTGGAACCAAGTAAGTGACACTGAACTCAGTGAGGATGGAAAAAGGAAACTTAAGACTTTACAGATCATAAGATATTTTAATTTTTAAAAAATCAGTGTCTTAAGACACAATCACACTCAAAAACTATAGAAAGCCAACTCTGGGAATCTTACTGCTTTTCATAAAACGGTGGAAAACATATCTGCCCTCCAAAATGCTGGAAACTATCGGAAGTAGAATTTAGAAATATTTCCCAGAATGCCTAAAACACAAGGTAATAATCCTTATTTGAAATGCTTGGGACTAAATGGGTTTCAGGTTCTGGATTATTTACATATAATGGGCTACATATACCCTGAAAGTAACTTTATACAACATTTCGAACAATTTTGGGGCATGACATTTAAAACTCATATTCAGTGTTACGTGGACTTCAGTTCTGTACCTTGGGTCTACATTGGCTGTAGCTTCATCAATAATCAATATGCGATTTTTCTTCAGAATTGCCCGGGCAAGGCATACTAATTGTCTCTGTCCAACACTAAAATTGGACCCTGATTCTGCTAATTCAGTATCCATTTTACCAGGAAGATCTTCGATGGCTTCTTTAAGCTGTACCTGCGGATGGAGACAGAGAACGACACTTTCCTCAGCAAGCTAACACAGACACAGACAGGGCTCTTCAGCATTAGAGCCCTAAGGACTTGTCTCCTCGTAGTGCCTCATGACGGCGAGTCAGTTCCAGTCAATGTTTATACACAGGTGGGGCACTCGGCTCGGAACACGAGCAGTCTGACTAAAGTGGACAACCCTAGCGGGACCCGAAGTTCTGCTTCTGTCATGCCGCTGCATTGTCATGCTGGCTCATGTGAATTCACAGGGCTGGGGCAGACCTTAAAGAATATGCAGTGTACTACATGAAGTTATGCTTGGGGCCAGAGAGATAGCTGAGTGGAATAAGTGCTTGCCTGGCAAGCTCAAGGTCCTGAGTTCGATCCCTGATACCACAAAAATATACAAATAAATACAAAATAAAATAAAGTTATTATCTAGGTCAAATGTACTAAGTAAAAGACTCACTTTTAATATTTAGCTAAAAGTTAACCTAAGGAATCCATAGAGAGAGAGAGAGAAAAAAAAAAAGAATGGTTGTTAGGTAGGGACAAGAGGATTAACTATAAATGGATAAGAGAGAACTTTTGGGGTGAAGTATTCCAAAACCGGGTTAGTGTGAAGGCTGTACAACTCTACAGACTTGCTAAAACAACCAAATCACACTCAAAAATCATGAATTCTGATATGTGACTTTTATCTCAGTGAGGTTGGTGGCCAACGTCAGAGTCCCCAGCACTGAGTGCCCATCCCACCTGAGACAGCCACCAGGCTCCGACAGGTACTGCACCATTTCAGAAGATTTTAATGAACTGGAAAAGTTTTAAAATATTTCAAAAAACAGGAAATTGCACTTCATATGTTGTGAAATCTGGATCTTACTTGGGTGTGGTCCTTTCCCAAGCTAAGTCCCGTGCTGTGAATACTGCCAAGTGTACCTCAGTCTCACAACTTCACTGCAGTGAGTAAAGAATCATGGAAAACAGGACACAACGTAACACTCTGCCTCAGCGACAGGGTGTTTATATTAATCTGTCTTACAAAATTATAGTTGTAAAATGATATGAATCTCTACCAAGTGGTGATTCAGTTCAATGAATATTTTGTTTTTGGAGAAACTTTGTAGAACAGGAGCCAAATATGTTCTTAGTTCTCTATCTTTGAGAACTAAGAACAGCAAAGAGGTAACACATCTCACACTGGAAGATCAGTAACCCGAGGAAGGCAAGCAGGTGCCCGGAACGCAGGGTCAAACAACGAAGATCTGGGGAGCCCACGTGCTGAGGCGTTTCTACAAACCCGTCCTGGAGCTGTGCTCGCGATGGAAGCCCGACTCCAAGACCTGGGAATTCTGACTTGAGATTAAATACGGTACTCGCATGTGGTGCTACCATCAAACACAGGAAAACGTCCAAAACCTGAAGTCTACCATTTGGATCACGGTGAAAGAGGCTTCACTGAAAACTCCAGATGTCAGTTCCGTCAAGGCCCACCCCAACTATAAGGAAGAGGACCTCCGGGGTACTGCTGCCAGGAGACAGACTCACAGATCTACATCCAGGTGCTAGGACCAAGCAGAAGTAGATGGCGGCAGGGTTTTTAATCAGTTTTTCCATGAATGGACTTTAGTAATCCTAGTGCATGCAAATATTTCTCTGTGTCTGTCTGTCTGTCTTCCTGGTTGGCTGGCTGGCTGGCTTTCTTTCTTTTTTCTGGTGAGGGTGCTACTGGGGACTGGACTCAGGGCCTTCACATTAAGCTACATTCTCAGCCCTTTTTTACTGTAATTTTTAATGTCAAGACTAGGTCTTGCTAAGTTTCCCTGGTTGGGCTGGGTCTCTAGATCTTCAGTGGGTTTTTTTCTTAAGACTGATGGTCAGACTTTGAAGAAATAATCTTATAGTTTCCCCTGACTACTGTGACAGCGCACCACTTATCTGGGAATAGGGATTTCGAGGTGGAGAACAGGGAACACACAAGAAAACAGCTGAGCCTCTATTTTCCTTAATGAATGAGAGAGGCTACGAGAATGATCTCAGCATGAAGGTCCGCTGAAGTGCTGGCCTATGCTCCAGCTATGATGAAGTATTAGAAAGAGGGAAATGCCTGAGACAACGGCACTGCAGTACCGCTGCATTTATTGAGTGAGAGGTTCAGCAAAATATAGACTATGAGATAAGAGGCAGGTGGGACAAGAGATTCACAGCTGAAGCACTGAGGAGAACTGAGGGGCAGGGTCTGTGATTTCATTAACGTTTCTATGATTTGAAAAATTTTATTTTATTTATTTATTTATTTTTGAGAGAGGATTTCACTGTATAGTTTAGGCTGGCCTTGAACTCACTATGTACCTCAGACTAGCCTGGAGCTCTGGAGTATGCTGGTAGCATTACTAGTCCTAGGCAGTATCTACTGATCTTTGGTCTCATAGCAACAGCTGTTCTAAACACACATACTGACTCGCTTTATACTCCAGTAGTATTGAGAGGCAGAGATCTCACAATAAATTTTTGTGGAGAAGATATCTTCCTGCCTCAGTCTTTTGGGGGGTAGGATTACAAATGTGCACCACCACACCCAGCTGCAAAGCCTTTCTGAACGCCGAGAGCCAGAACCTGGGTCCTGCCTAGAGGTGCCAATAGGGCAAGTTCCTGAACTTTCTCTTAGCTTGCTGATAACGACACAAAATTATTATAGGTGAGATCTCTAGCTCTGAATGCCACTGGAATATCAAGCAGGTCAGGGTGTGTGTTTAGACAGCGGCTGCTGTGAGGGGAAAGATCCACAGATACCGCTAGGACTGATGACGTCACCAGCACACTCTCTTCATGCTCGTCCCTGAATTCATTAGTCCAGTGTGCTCACACAAGCGCTTGCTTACTGTCTATCTTCTCCACAAGAATTAAGCTCGCAGTCTCCCACACCTATGCAACAATAAACAGTGGCTGAACACATAAATGAAGCCACAACGCTTCTATAAATTAGAAAATTACATTCACAATGGATATATACCTATAATATATACCACTTTCCTACTGAATTTCATTATCAAAGAAATATATTTCTTATAAAAGTTAATTGGCCCCAGGAGATCATAGCAGCCATGACGTGAAGAGCATTTTTAATCTTTATTTATTTGGTACAGGGTCTCATGACACAGCTCAGACTCACAATGACTTTTCTGTCTCAGCCTCCCCGGTCCTGGGATTACAGGTGTGTGCCACCATGCCCGGTAACAGTGGCCAGCTGGGGGCAGGGCCGGCATGGCATGTCGTACCTGGGATCAAACCTGGGTTCTTGCACTTGCCAGGCAGATGACCAGATTGCCAAGCTATGTCCCCAGCCCTTGCCTTGTAAAAAATTTTAAATAATAATTTCAAAATGAGCATGGTGGTGCACACCTGCAATTCTAGTACTCTAGAATTTCACTACAGAAGGCTCATAGTCTTGAATGAAACTAGAAGTCAGCTGCTTTTCAAGAGGGAGACAGTGAAGTAAGCGACCCAATTCAGGACGGTACAATCCCCAACAGTGCAGGAAAGCAGGCCGGGCATGTGAAGACCGCATGGGCATGCCTTCAGAAACCAGCATGCCGGGCAGGAAGCTGTCAGGCATCCAAATCCGCTCCCTGCAGACACAACCCATCTCCACAAATTGCGGAGCTAACCCCGAGAGCTGGTGGCAACGACACACACACCAATGCACAGCACCAGTAACAATGATGGGGGCCTGATCATTGAGAGTTGGGGTTTTTTAAAGAAATAAGCCACACTTGTAGGAAATGAAGAGATCAACCATTCAGTACATATTCATTAAACGCTTACTTTTTAAAAGTAAAAAGATGAGCTGGGTCCTATGAGGGATTAGAAGTCTAAGATATGGTTTCTGCCACTAAGGAACTTAGAATTAATTTGCAGCACCAACATGAACGTGCTAAATATTTAGTGTTGAAATACATATATAAACTGACAGCATCTTAACAGCCAAAATCCTTTTCCTGGGAGGGCAAGAAAATGCAAACAAGTGATCCACAGGGAAACGCTACACAGACCATAGCAAACCCTATAAAAATGAAGGTATCCATCTAAAAACTGAGCAGAGGCTCTGGAGTTTTGTCACCTGAATTCATTCTGCAGCATTAAAATGCCATGTTTGCCAGTAAATAATTATTATCACCTTCTAACTGCATAATTTGCCTTTTAAGCACTTTCAAATAAAACTTCAAAGGATTTTACAAGTATCATTTCAGTTATCTTCCAGTTGGTGAAAAGGAACTATTACCATCTCCATTTCCTGGACGCTGCCTAGGAACAGAGCTGCAGAGTCTACACTACAGGGGACTTGGACACGAAGAGAATTTGAATGCACGCACACAACTCCTAACAGTGCTGAGCTAAGGACAACGTATCCTGCTGGTGGACTATGAAATGAAAACATGAGACCTTTCATTTCTTGTTTTCACAGTCATCAATATGCACGTTTTGTCAAACCATGTCATCAGCGTCTTATGTTGGGAGCAAAGTTAAACCAATCAGCTCCCCTCAGTTTCCTGAGATGCTGAGAAGAGACACACACAGACACTGATGCTGCCCAAATGGTCACAACACGCAAATTACCTCTTCTAAGGCGTTCCACAGTTCCTCGTCGCTGTGCTCACTGAAGGGGTCCAGGTTCTTCCTCATTGTTCCCGTGAACAAAACTGGTTCCTAAACATCCCAAAGAGTGAATGTCTTTAGCGTAGTTTCCATTATATCGTCACGGTAACTCTCAGAACAGATTGAAACTACGAAAACCCCCAAATTTTCAATGATCATTAATTCTAAGGGTACAGGTGTCTATCTAGAAAACAAGATTTCTATTACTTTCCCATAAATAAACCCAGAGTGCTCCACAATCTGTTCCACATCACTGAACGCTCACAAAAGAAGCTGCTACAGTACGTCATCTTAATTAGAAAATAAAGAAAAGAAGAAAAGCTTCTGAAGAAAAAGAAAATGTTTTCTTGGTAATATCTGTGGAAACAAGAAATGCAAGGACATACTTAATTTGAGGAAATTTACATCAATGGAACGAGAAACTGTCTATCCTGGTGTCACACTGGAAAATATCAATACCATGCGTAACTAGTTGATGTCTATGTTTCAAAAGAAAATTATTAAATGTTTTCTGTATTGGTAAAGCAGTGTTCCAGAATTGGGAGTCTCCCTGCATGCCGCACTGGGACCTTCTGGCCTTCGTCCAAATGGGACATAAATTAATGGAGCCAGTGGCACCTCTACTCGTAAAGAGATCGCCTCTGACATTGCACCAGCTGATCCAACATTATCTTGGCTGCACATCAGGGATGCCGGCCTCACCGAACCTCATTATTAACTACAAGGGCAAAGTAACCTGAAACCTACCGTGAAGGATATCATGTAATACAATTATTTTAATTTAAATGGCTCTTCCTATTCATCTGCCTCAGGAGGAGCCCATAGTTAAGTTGCTCTTGAGATGTTCTGGATTTTAAGAGAGAATCGCGTCTATGGAGCCATGTAAATGCTGTGTTCTCAAAGGCTCTAGCAACCCAGCTGCAAGGTCACGGGCAACAGAGAACCCAACCAGCTTCCTTCAGTGAAGGTGCCTGGAGGAGGGGACAAGAGAAGCAGTGGCCCTCCCCCAGGTCCTGGAGAACTGCTCAAAGGACATCAGCCTGCACGCTCGCCTGGCCTTGGGGCTGGGCCCCCAGTCCCGGAGAAGAAAGACTAAGGAAGATTTTTCTTGAGCTGTTAAGAATGACACTGTCCAGCAGGTTCTTAGTCTTAAGACTGGCAAGGGAGAAATAGAGGCAGAAGGCCAATGGCTTCCCACCAAGATACATGACAAAATCCAAAACTGAAGAAGGCATTGAAAGGGCCACTGTATTACACTAAGCAATTGGCTAAGTGAGTAATCCCCTTCAAAAGCACACCCACATAACAGTTGAAAGAATTAACAACTGGGACCTGCTCTTACTGAGAAGTTTTTTCATGTCAAAAGAAATTAACAACAGAGTGAAAAGGCAACCCACAAATTTGGAAAAATCATGACAAATAAGTACTCAGACAAAGGTCTGCTCTCTAGAATCTATAAAGAACTAAAAAACA